TAATATTTTGCCTGATTTGCAACATGAGTAGGATTTTAATCGTTTCTTCCTGTAATTTACAAAAAGCTTCTTTCCAAACAAGGCAGATTCAGAGGAAATCTATAAAAACCCTCCCCCTATATCCCCATCCAGGTTACTATAAAAGCATTGGTGATGATGTTTCTATTTGCTTTCATTTTGGTAATTTAGGTGAGGCAAAAAGGCAAAATATTAAACAAAATGTTTTTTTAAATAATATGGTTTGTTCCAAATAGAGAGTGATATGACATTGAGGCACTCTTTAGTATCCCAGTAACTTTACTCACCAGAGGCACCAGATGACCTGTTTTTATAATTTGTGGTGCTCCTCAGATGTGGGTAGCCAGATATTATTTTTATGGAGTTCAAAAGCCTCTACTCAATTCATGGCCCTTCACACATAATTTGATATATGTAGTGCATTGTTACTCCAATGACGACAGAACAATCCATCCAAAGTTCAGTTATTTGTTTATACATAACAGACAGAATCTTGCCTGACTAAATGCTTTCTACTCTCACTCTACATATTATATGGTGGAAGATTCTAGGGAGTAGTATCTTTACTCTCTTCCTATGTCTCCTATCCAGCTCTGGATTCTGCTGCTTGTCTTTAGTTCCTTCTCTGGGGACATCATCTCTCACATGCACTAGCTTTAGGAACTATCCAGATCCTCACCCCACCCCCTGCCAAATATGTAAAACACAGTATGAGGGTCATACCATTATGCAATATTTGCATCTCTTTGTTTTTGGAGCTTATTGGAAGGTGGAGTGAAGGTATCATTCAGATTGCATTTTAAAGCCACACATGATTGCTGTGGCTTTTTTTGAAATAATTTTAACTTTATGGTAAAAGTATATCTGCTCACTAAGTTCAAAGGTCCACATAAAAGTATGTTTATTGGATTGCAGCTTTAATAACTTGAAGGTTGAAGGAAAAATAAAACTTAGCTCATAGTGTGTTTTAGCATTTGTTGTCTTCCATGGAATGGGAATTTATATATGTATCCTTCCTGTCTCAATGTGAAATTCTTCCATTTGCTTTGGAAAGTAATGTGCATCATTCCTGGTTTATTTTCTGGGAGTTGAGTATCAGAAAGGATTCAGTTTGAAAAATGCTGCTGTAATGGCGTACAAATGAAAAGTCAATGCAAATCAAAGTTAACAACAACAAGAAGAAGTAAGAGCAATTACAACTTGCAATAGCCTAGAAGAACTACTTATCTTTCCTTTGGCTCATTTTCTATTGACGTTTATTATACCATTAAACTTTATTGGAAAAGAGTAAAAATAGGTAGAATGAGTTTTTCCTACTTTGGTAAATCATCTGATAAATAAGCTTTACTGCAATCTTAGGCCTGGCAAAACATTAGAAATTTCACATAACTAATATTTCAGATGAATCTTATTGTATCAGAGGATAGATTTCCATATTAGATATTAGTAGCAATGCAATTTATCGACGTTTATACAATAATTTCACACAAATGTTTCAAGTATTATCTATATAGCATAAAAGAAATGAGCTTCTTTGTGGATATGGCATATGCTGTGATCTCAGAATCTTTCCTAAAATTGCCAATTCTTCTAATTTTAATGTGGCAGCATAAATTATGAATGGTGTGTGTGTGTGTCTGTGTGTGTAATTTCGACTTCCAGGGAAGCAATAGTG